GATGGATGGATGGATGATAGATGATGGATGATTGATGGACAGACGGACAGACGGACACACAGACAGGTGGAAGGACAGCCGGACCTACGAACCGGCGGGCGGGTGCGCGCGCACGCGACCCCGCCGCGCGCGCGTGCGCGCCTCCCCTCGCGCGCGGCGCCGCCCCGCCCTCTGCTCCCATTGGCCGCCGGCGGGGCGGGGGGCGTGTCCCGGCGGCGGCCCCCGCGCTGCCATTGGCCGCGCGCCCCTTTGTGTGCCGGCCGAGCGCGGCCGCCGCCAGTCGCCGGCGCGTCCGGGGGGCACAAAGGCCGCAGCATGGTCCTGGTGCACGTCGGATACCTGGTGCTGCCCGTCTTCGGCTCCGTGCGCAACAGAGGTACCGCTCCCGGCAACGCGGGTTCGCGTCCCGGGGCCGCTAACGGCGGCGAGGGGGGGCGGCGGCGCGTCCCGGGTCCCCGGCAGTAGGAAGGGGGGGCTGCCCCTCAGCGTTCCCCTCAGCCCACCTCACCCAGCCCGGCGGCGATCCCCCGTTCTGGGGCGCCACCCGCCCCGCACACACCACGTTTTGGGACCCCCCTCCTGCCCGCATCTCCCGTCTCCGCTGCGGTAGATCCATTCCCCCTTCCCCCCCTCCCGTTCTTCTTTTACGGATTTTATTTTATTTTTTAATTTACCCCTCTTCCCCCACCCCTCACCGTAGCCACCAGGCCATCCCAGCGTAGCTGTAGCCGATAACAGCCATTTTTGTACCTCCATCCTGTGTAGTAGCTGAGTTACATTTGCACTGTAAATTCCTGTTAAGTGGATTCGTTTTGCTGTGGTCGTCGTCGCAGAGTCTCTTTGGGGTGGGGTGGGGGCAAACGCCCCCGAATTGCGGCCGAACCCACAGCTCTGGGGCGGCCAAGCTTGGAAGGGACCACGGTGGGCTCGTCTGGTCCCACCTCCCTGCTGAAAACCTTGCAGGAAAAAAACAAAAAAAAAACCAAAAAAAAAAGAAAAAAAACCCATTAAATCTGGGGAGGGGAAGCGCGGCGATTGGCCGCGGTTCCCCAGATGGGTCTGGCAGAGTTTGGGGAGCGGGATGTGTGTGGTCAGGCTGAGGTGCAGCATCCCTGTCCCCGCGGTGACACCGCTGTCCCCGCGGGCATCGCCCCCAGCCCCGGTCCTCCCTGCAGCCACAAGTGTCCCGTCCCGCCGGCGCACCCCCCAAAAAAAACCCCCAAAAAACCAAACCGGGCTGCCGAAAGAGACGACTGGCAAAATGGTTTTCCATTAAACAGGGATAACATTTTTTTCTGCTGTGCTAAATTACTTCCTGTTCTTATTTTGTGGGTAATTTTTTCTGTACCGAATATCCTTTGGTTGTGTATCTCCACCTTTTTTCTTGTACTAAAACTAAAGCATGGTCTGTATTTTTTTACATTACCTAGTTTCTGATGTAAATCTCTCTGTAGAGACATACCCTGCTGAAATGTAATGTGCTGTAGCCTATACATCTGCTCAGTGTACGCTGCTTTTGTTCTGTTGCCCTTCCATAGCATGGTGGGCCTTGCCTTTTTGTATTGTGTGCATGATGACATTGTTACACACGATTCCACTAATACTAATATACGATCTCTCAATAAAGAAACTAGTTTTCCTATATTAACCTAGTGTGCTTTTTCTATTGCTGTTTTCCCATTTACTGTCGTATCCTGCTGTTTAGATTTTTTCCTTGCTTTCCCCTCATCGTGAGGTTTGAGTGAGCGGATTTTTTCTCCCTCGTAGAACTGATATGGGGGCTTTTAAATACATTTTCCCCCCCCACTTCCTATCCCATATCTACCCTCAGCATTAGTCTGTGTGTACATACTTCCCAGCGCACAGTCCATATTGCTGTTGTGCCGATGCAGAATTCTGGTTTTACCGCAGAACAGCAAAAAAAAAAGTGTGCAAATCCAATCTCTCATTCTTAATCAAAAAAAAAAATTGATGAAGGGTCTGCTGCTTATTCATTCTAGTTACAACATTACACGTTCCTTACCAGACTGATCCCTCTGTATGGATGGGGGGGGAATTGTTTATTTTTCGAAACTCCTGATTAACAAGAGGTAAAACAACCTGTATTAAAAAAAAAAAAAAAAACCCCCTCTAATATTTAAGAGTGTATATTTTAAACATATACATCTCTGCGAGTGCCCTGCCCACCATCTGCCAGGCGAGAAGTTGCCGTGCCTCGGTCCCGCGGCGACTGGCACGCTATAAATATCTCCACTAGACCCCTGCAAGGCAGGGCTCGTAAAAACGTCCCAGCTGCTAATGTTGTAACTACATTTTTTTTCCTGCTCGAAGCCTCCAGGCCCACCATCTTCTGAATAAAAACTCGATTTGGTCAAAAAAAAAAAAAAAAAAAGGCAAACTATGGGGTTGGGAGAAAGTCATGGGGAGCCTTAAAATATTGGAAGCATGGAGGAATGGATGAATTGCGGTCAGCGAGCAGTTTTGCTGCGGCTGCAAAGCGATGATAATAATAGTGGCCACCTCTCCTTGTGCCTGCAGCAGACCTCCTCTCCCAGGTCTGCAAAACGGTCCTGTAAATCCTCCCCGTTTTGGCTTGGATGCCACGAGGAACTGAGGGAAGCCAGGACTCCCAAAGCCAGGAGATGGGGCTGGGAGGGGAGGCGGGGGGAGCATCTTGTCTTTAATTACATTTCCACAGAAGCGGGGGGGAGAGAGACGCAGGATTGGTGATTGGTCTTTAATGAGAGGAAGACAAATTCAGCAGGTCGGTGGTTCCCACCCGCTAAAATTTCACGAGGAGCCGCTGGCAAACAAAACAAAAGCCAGTGGCTCCTGCAGCCCGCCCTGCCTTTACCCCAGCATCCCTCCCAGAGACGCATCATTTCGCAAGGCTGTGCCTCTCCACCTCTCTCCTAGCTCTATCCTGAGTTCGGTTGGTTTTCTCTATAAACATTTATTTATGATTTCCTTCTCCATTATTTCCTTTTCCGTGTACCTCGGTGACTGTTTGGCCATCCTGTCCCCCTCTGTATGAGCACCGGTGGGGTGCCCCCCTGCTCCCCCCTGGATGTAGTGTATGCCGTGGCCCTTTGTTCTCGCTCCATCCTCGCCCCGGGCCAGCGCTGAGCTCCTCCGTGCCTGACACGTCCCCATACACATCCCGAGGAGGGAGGCTGTGCTTCTCGCTTGCATGAAGGGAGACATGCATGCCTGTTGGGGCTGATCATTTTCCAATGTGATTTTTTTTTTTATTATTTTCTCCCCCCTCTCCCGCCCTCTCCTCCCCTCCCTGTTTTCCTTTTTTTTTATTTTTTTGTTTTGTTTTGTTTTGTTTTGTTTCCTTTTCTTTTTAAATTCAACCCCCTCCTCCTCCCCCCACCAACCCCACGCCACGTGAGACAATGAGATTCGGGTTTTGGCGTGGGGCGGAAAAAAAAAATAAAATAAAAAAATCCCCCTTCTCCTCTCCCCCCACCCCGAACCGTGACACGGATAAACCCATCCCCTCCACGGACACCTGCCGGCAGCTGCCCCTTTGTTGGGAGTGGGGATTCACTGCAGCGAGCCTAACAACCCCCCCCAGGTCTCACTCTGCAAATTAGCCCTGCTACAGAGCAGGGCTGCGTGGTCCATCCACTCCGAGGATGCCTTGGTAATCTAATAATGCAGAAAACTGCTGGGTTAATGGCAACTTTTAAAGCAATTTATCATCCGCATCATATTTTTGACCTGTCTTGTTAGAAACACATCCTTACAAGAGGAAACGTCCCCCCCTCCTCCACCTCCCAGCCTTATTAGTCAGTAACCACCAGGCTTTCATAGCTCATAATCCATCAAATTCATTCACATTTTAATGACTTAATTCCTTTGACACTCTTGAAAAGCCACGTTTGAGTCCTCCTGAAAAAGCCACCTGGTACAAAGAGAATGATTTTTTTTTTGGTTTGTGTTTTGGTTTTGAGGTGGTTTTTTTTTGTTTGTTTTTTGATTTTTTTTTCTTTTGTTGTTGTTTCCCTATGGTTTTTGTTTTTGTTTTAACATTGTGGGCTGAGAAAATCCAAGGTGGGTCACGTGCTGGTGGTGCTGCTGTGGGTGTGGAGGCACATGCAGTGATTTCTGTAAAGCCTAGAACATCTCTCCAGCACCAACCTGTATCCCTGGGCTCCCTTAAATAGCTCCTTTCAGTAACAGGGAGAAGGATAATCCCAAACACGGACAAAACAGGCTCTGAGGTTCATTTATGTAAGGGTTGTGTAAAGGTCTCACACCCATCTGCGTGCGTTTAATGATGGCCAAAGGGAGCTGGGCTGATGGGTCTCTCACACGGGGTTTGGGCTGGTGGGCACAGCTCCCATCCTTTTTAAGAGAAACAAGTAGTGGTCACGTTTTGCTCATGCTGGGAATTACCAGCAAAGCCTAAAGCAAGCTGATCTGGATTTACCTTGCTGAGTGTGGATCTGGCCCCGTGGAAGTGTGTTATTTAAGAACTGGTGAGTTGGTGCTCGAGGGAGGCAGCAGCAGAAGCTGTGAAGCTCGGGGGTGGTCGGGGGGGTGTGTCTGCCACAAAACCCCGGAGCTGCTCTGGGGGAGGGGGACAGAGTGCTGAGGACACTGTGGGGACACAGCCCTGGGCAGAGTCGCCCCGAGTCCTCCTCCGTGACCTTTCTGGAAGGACTTTCCTAGAGTAAGTCTTGAGTTTCATTTTCGTTGTTGCTTCAAACCCTGCTCATAACCTGGGCAGCTCCTTGGTAGCTGAAAGGGGAGGATGGAGCATGGCTGGGGCAGACACTGCCCCAAAAGCTGTAGGATAAACCCCTCCCAGGTACCTCAGGGAGCACGTGGGGCATCCAAGACTGGCTCCTGCTTCTCCACTGACCAAAGGGACGATGGTGGCAACCACTGGAGGTGCACAGGTGGAAGGACAGGGGAATATAGCTCTTTTGGGGGTAGCAAGGATGTGGGTATCCCCTCCCACCCTTTTACATGCTGGTTTAACCCCAAACCATGCACTGGGGCCGCCTCATGTCTAAACTGGAAGATTATTATCTCCAGAGGTGTTAAAAAAGGCACTGCAGCAGGTCAGCAGAGAAAATCCTTTCCCACCCTTAACCTGGGAGTGCTCGTTTTTGGGAGGCTTTAAATTAATGAGTGAGACATCCAAGGGGAGATTTTTGCAAAAGGTCTTCTCCTGTGTTGAACTGTCCTCAGTATCTGTAGCCCCCAGGAACAGAGCTGGTTTGGCAATTGGAAGAGGTGTGATGGCATTGCCAAATGCTGTGACTCTCGGGCATCTCATGGTGTTTGGGTGTTCCTGCATAACCCTGCAGCTCCTGGAGCTGGGTGACAGCACGAGGCTTTGCTCTTAAAGGGTTGTAC